TCGCGTAGTGGACTATTGGGAGATTTTCGGAAAATAATTCGCTGATAATCTTGGTCGTCTTTATGTACAACTATTCGTCTATAAATTTTTTCGATACCTCCGTTGAATACGTATTTGAATGTACGCCAATTTAAAATGAAGAGCATTAAATCTGGTTGGAGATTGGATCCCGTAAATAGAATATCATTTAGAGAATTTCCTGAGCTAGTGGATTTTGAGGCATTGAAAACCTCTCTGACTTTTGTTGTTTTTTATATGGCTTTACTACTGCGTGATGGGGCAAGTAAAATGAGTAATATTTGCCATTTATGATTTTTTCGCCTGCGCTTACTTCTCCATGTGGTCTAATGAGGTATTCTTCTAACACGCCATCGGCTGTGGCTTAAGCTCACCTTTTTAAGTAAATTTTTTCCATACTTAAAAACAGCTGTATTGCAGAGGTGCGAGAGTGAAATAAGGCGAGTGTGTTAGGAAATTGTTGTTTTAGTGGTAGTCGTACGACGTACCGACCATTATCTGGTACTCCCAAAATTTCTTTAATTGTGAATTAAGGTATTCGTTTGAGATTTCCTCAACCTAAGTGGTCTTGGTGGTAACTGGTTCCGCAACTAGTCCACTTAGGATCCACCTAAAAATAGCATTTTGTGCCAGAAGTGTATTTGACATTTTCTCAATACCTTCGAGTATGAGATCGCTGCCTAATAGAAGATCTATTTGAGCGGGAGTGTTGCAGTTGGGATCTGCTAGCTTTAGGTGTGAAACCTTTTGCCAATGCTTGCTATTTATGTGATAGCTTGGAAGCATATTGTAGTTGCGGTAAGACTATAGCTTCTGCTTGTATGTGCTTATCCGCTTGGGGGGAAATTAAGGTAATGGGGCAGATTTTATTTGAGTTTTACACTACTCTTCCGCCCATTCCCGTGATTTCAAAATTGGCTAGTTTTGTTGGCAGTTGTAGCCTATTTTGAGCCCTAGCCGCTATAAATGATCGTTGTGAACCTTGGTCTATTAAGGCCCTAAGCTTAAACAGTTCTCCTCGGTGTTCGATGGAGACGACTGCTGTGGATAGTAGTACTCTACTTTGAGTTTCGCTGTGTAGCGTTCAGTTTTTGAATGCCTTTGAGCAGCATGGTGCATCTTGGCAATTTTCGGGACTTCGCACTTCGGGATTTGCTGTTGCAACTAAACCCGTGGCTCTTTTCATATTTGCGCTGTTTGGGGGTGAGCTGGAAAATGTGCTGTAATGCAGCATTGAATGATGTCGTTTATGACAATAAACGCTATTAAATTTGCTTTCGCACTCTTGACAGGCAATTTGTACAAAGTCTTTTTCTTTTTACAAAATTGTTCCTATCGACAATATTTAATTTTTTGAATTTCTCGCATGATTTGAGCTTATGCCCTCCTGTACAGAGTTCGCATGACGTTTGTTTGTATTGTTCGGAGCAGAACGATTAATTTTTAAAAAAGCTTCTATTTAAATTGTTGCTGCTACTGGCTTGGGGTGAATTGAAGCTTCTGTTTAAGTCATACATCGATTTCATACTGGGTAGTTAAGACATCTTTCATTTGTTGCCACGTTAGGCATTTTCTTCGTGATGAGAGTGATTGCTCCCATAAAAGTAATGATTTTTCTGGTAATGCGGCGGTGCATATGTTTATCAGTATTGGGTCCCAGCTGTCTGATGGAATATTTTGTGTCGATAGAACCGACAAGCAATTAGAAACAGTGGGTTGCAGTTTTATAAACTCCTCACTTGTTTCCTTTTGAATCTTAGGGAAGTTCATTAGTATCGTACTTGCTTATCGACCAATATTCTTTCATTGTCATATCTAGATTTAAGAGCTTCCCAAGCCAAATTGAAATTATCGTTATTAGGTCGAACTGTCTTACTATTACGCCTCCTTGACCTTTTGTTTTGTATCCGAGGTGATACAATATTTGTGCATTTGATAATTTTGGGGGGTTCATGTAAACGGCTGTAAACATGTCCCGGAAGGCCGGCCATTGTTCATAACCACCATGAAATATTTCTGTGTCACATGCAGGCACCTTGAGATGGATGCCTGAACTTGCCTCTTGACTTTGCACTTGTGGCAGCTCTACTCGCTGATGTGCAGTAGGTGCAATTGCTTTTATTAACTTTAGTTGGTCAGAAATCACTGCTTTAGTTTCTTCAAACTGGTCTAAGCAATTTTCGTATTTGACGTAAGCCGAGGATTTAAAATTGTCAGGTAGATCTGAGTCGTCAGATTCTATGATTGCGTCATATGCAGCATGGATACATGTCCAGAAATTATCAAGATTTTCTTTTTTGATTTCTAATACCGATTCAGAATTGTCCTGAATCTGCGAAGATGAAAATCGAGTGCAGTATCTTATTAAACTGTCACTCTCAGCAATGAATTTACTTTATGTAATGTCTTTCCCCCTTTTTTGCTTTGTAGCATCTTGCTTTGAGCGTGTAGCTTCTGCAGGTGTACATGGACTTCTTTCGTCAGAAATCAGTTTTGAAACTTTTAGCAACTGAGTTGTTTAAGAATGTTTCGAGCCTGAGCTCATTTAAAAGATGTGGCGAAATAAAATAAAATATTTTCAATGTAAAAAATATATGTATATGTTTGAAACTTCTTTTAAGAAAAGAAGAGTTTTTTTTTTGAAAAAATGAATAAATTAATGACGTTTTTAAACTCGTATGAGTAACTGAACTCTCTTAAGATAATAAGAGTTTTTATTTAATAAACTGAATAAATTACACGTATTTCGTGTTTAATTTTTTAAATATAATATTATTTAATTGATTATTAGTAAACGCAAATGTTTTTTATTTTTAATTTTATTTGTATGTATTATGCGTCAGTAATTCCTATAGGGATGATCATCTGTGCCAACTTAACACAATTGTTTTTAATTTTTCTAGTATTGGAACAAAAATAATTAATGAAAAACATAAATAATTGTATTTTTAAATATTTATTTAAATTTACAGACTTCAGTTGGCATAATACAACTAAAAATAATAATTTTTGCACTAAAATGTTGAGGGAAAGGATCAATAATTTATTAAGTCGTCAATTAAAAAAGTATCATTGAACTAGGGGCATTGAAAAGACGTAGTTTGATTACTGGAATAAAGGCACTGAACGAACCACTATAGAATTCCATTTCGTTATGCAGAGAGTTGACGAGCTAAACGATGCGGTTGTGAGTGCCGTCGAAAACATAGCTCTCGATAGTTTTTAGCAGACGATTGCGTTTTAACGAGACCCACCGGTGCAAATTCGAAACTACTGTTGATGTCAGGTGCATCAATCAGGCCATTCACGACTTTAAAGAAGAATATTAAACTTGCTATCTGACGACGAGTTTGCATTTTATTGATATTGAAATGGTCGTAGATATCGTTAATTGAGTGATCTTCAGAGAAGCCATAACGGTAACCCAAGCTCTTACAGAGTTTTATTTGTACTTTTACCATATGTTTAATTGCGATGTCGGTGAATGGAAATCAAATTACGCTGCCGTATTCCAAAACTGAAAGAACTAGTGATGAGAAAAAACCTTGCTGGTCCTAGTTTTAAAAGCTAAAACTTTGAAAGCCTGAAGAGTGATCTTATCGATATGCTTGTTGAATTATAGTTTATAATCTATGATGATGTCCAGGTCTTTTACGTGTTCAACTTCGCTTATTGTCTCGTTGTTTAGGTAATAGTTTGCTGGCGTTCAAGAGTGTTGACTTATTGATGTTCAAATCGAGCTTTTTTTTGTGGCACCAGATCGTGTGTGTTTTGTTCACTAGTTATCGTTCTGAAGATTTTTGATTGGTCTGCATAAAGCAGATATTCAGACTGGAAGTTATCACCAATATCGTTTATAAAAATATTAAAGACAGTTGGACCCAGGAATGATCCTGAGGTACTCCTGAGGTCACATCGTGCTTGGTAGATAGATGTCCATCAAAAAACGAAGCTTGAAATTTTCTTCCAATAAAATATGAGTGGATCTAACTCAATGCATTACCTTGAATGCCATAACTGTTTAGTTTATTTAGAAAGATACTATGGTCCACCCTATCGAGTTCTTTGCTGAAATCGGTGAAAACGGTATGAACTGCCTGACCGATATGTGTAGCTTGGAGTTTGTAACTTACATAAATAAACAAGTTGAAAGTAGTGGACCTCCCACCGACGAAACCGTGCTGTTTGCTGATAATATTATCCTTAAAAAATGCATTGAGTTGAGGTAAAATTATCTTCTCAAAGAGTATAGCCAGAGCTGATTGTATACAAATTGGCTTATAGTAGGAGACATCAGACCTATTTCTTGGGAATAGGACATACGTAAGAAGATTTCCAAGGGTTGGGAATGTCACATTTTGGAGTGAAGAACTAAATATGTGTGTGAGATGTTCACTGACACTGGTAGCACAATTTTTGAGCAAGATATTTGCAAGCCATTCGGACCAGCGCCCTTCCTCGTATTCAGAGGCAATAGTGTTATGTAGATGTCGTTGATGCTGACCTCAAATTCGATACACTTGTGTCATCCTGGATCTGCTCTTTGACTTTGTTTATATAGTTCTTGTAACATAGAATATTGAGCTTTTTACATTCTCGCCGAAGTTTGCCAAGTTTTATAATATTCAATTTGGTATTGTTGCTCTTATAGGAACCAGTAAGGAAAGTGACTAGTTTTTTGTGTACGAACTGGAACATAGGTTGAGATTCCTTCTTGCATTATGTCATAAGGGACTCTGATTTTATTGTCAAGGGAAGGTGATGAGTACAGAGTAGTCCAATCGGTGTTTAAATAATAGGCATTAAAGTTGCCGTAGTCAGCGGTCTTAAAGCCAAAGAATAGAAAAAGGAAATGGCTTGAGACTTGGCTTGAGACTAAACTGGAGCTCAATAGTGATATCAAGAGCAGGATGTTACAATACTTACTTTTATGTAGATTTGTTCGATATTCTCATCGATAATGGCAATACTCTCTGCGTGGATGTATTTTTTAATTGATTTAATTTAATATATAATATATTTAATTTATATATTTTTAATTTTACATATGGAATAACTTCTATTCGTGCTAAAGAAATAAAAATGAGTCGTCTATTACTTCCTTATCGCGGATGGGTGGGGGGAACCATGATTCCGTGATGCCCAAGGCATCAATGCTGCTAATGCTGTTGCTGTCGCTGTTAGAAAACTGTCGAGCTTGGTGCGTAGTCCTCTCACGTCTGATCGATTGAGTTTCCCTTTTCATTAAGTAGGCGAAAATTTTTGTCAACTAGTTTTCGAATACCGTTAACTTATCTAATAGTTTTTTAGGTGTCGCCATTTTTTACTAGTGTATCAAGCTCAGCCCGGAGGTTATTTATGTCGTTGGAGCTGAACAGGAGTAAGGTTCGATTTAAATATCACTTTGGCAGATTAATCTGCAGGTTATGGCTGTTTATACTTTAATATTGCACGAGCTACAGAAGGAGATGGATTCTCTACTAGTAGCGGTCGGCAGAAGGGCAACCTAGGCGACGAAGTTTAAAATTATGTATATTAGAATTTAAGTCAGAAGGCAGTACAATCTAGATGACGGTTCTGTCTTCATCGAGGCAGTCTTTACCGTCTGCTTTTTTTTTAGTCCTTTTATGTAGAGCATAGCCACATTTGATTCACGCCTTATACGTTCTGAGAACCCCGCGATGATTTCTTCTGTTGGTGCTGAAACACTGGTGAACGTTTTGAGTATATTTTCAACTTGGGTAAGTTATCAGTTTAGTTATCACCTATGCGTTTGTTCTGATGAGTTAAGGTTGTAACATCCTTCCCGATATCTGTGACGTTTTTTTCTAACATATAACCGACTTAAAACTGTTTAATTTATTTTCAAAGGATGTGGTGAGCTGCAAATATTGCTCATCGAGCAGACGATTAAGCTTATCTATGGTAATGCTATCATCCTCGTCATTTAAAAGGTCAAGATCATCCTGAGTGACGACACTAACTTTCAAATTGCAGGAAGCACATTTTCAAAGAAAACGTTGTGATTTGACTTTATTTGTTAGCTCGGTGAATTCAGTTCTGGCAAGTCCTGCACATTAGGAGTGAGTTCATACACGGCAATTAATACATAGGTCACTGGGTTACAAACGATGGCCTAAAGGAATACAAAATTGCGAAAGATTAAAAAGTTAATGCGAAATTTTCGAATTTTCTCTTTTTATCATTTATGGATTGAATATATTTTGTTTGTCAAATTTGAAACCAAGTTTCTTAAAAATCGCTGTTGTTAAAATTTGTTGAAATTACTATGAAAATTAACGTATTTTTATTTAAATTTTTCTAGTTGTTAATTTGCGTTCAGTATTGCGGTACAAGAAAAATCGCTCGTGCCTTCCCAACTATCCCAAAATTCCACTTCAATCCAATTGTACAATGTCACTGTCAAGTTTCTTGTGATTTCACAGCATTTTTGACCATATATTATTTAAATGTTCTACAAAGAACAAATTTAATGACCAATAAACATAAAAGTTATATACGCTTTTGTATGAGTACTTCCCTTAAAAATTTTCTACGCGAAGCCAAGCAAAATGTTGGGCAGTTCTAATTTTTTCACGCTTTCCCCAGCAATCGTCGCCATTTTTATTAGGGAGAAACACTGAAAGAAAAGCCTTCATTGTGGCATATCCTTTGTTTTGTGCGCTTTGTTGTTTCAGTATGAACTAGTGATGAGCGATGTTGCAATTTTTCGATATCTGTGATTTCAGTGATAGAAATTAACATTTCAGGAGGCACAGACGATTCTAAGCGTCTTAATTTTTCACGCGAAATTGGTGCAGGTACTTTGAACTATTTGTTTTCCACCATTGCAACGAATCTTCTGTTCAGCCAATGACTTCACTTTCCAAATGACTCTGAACTTCAATATTGAATGTGCTAGTAACTTTCGAATTATTTGTGTCTAATATACTCGAATATTAAAAGTTTCGATACAGAAGATCCCAAATCGGGATAAAACAATATAAATTGAATTTTTAATCCATTATTGCATTTGCAATATCTTGAAGAAATCTGCCACGTTTCTGTTATTATGCTGTTCTGTTATTGCGATCTCAAGTAACCCTATTAAACTGTATTGTTAAAAATTCACAATTTCACAAATTCAGAGGATGGAACTGCTATCTCAATCGTAACTCATAAAAGTGAACACCTATTTGCAAAAAATGATCGTAGTTGCGATATGCGATTTTTCAATCATTACGAAAAAATCATCACTAGTATGAACTATCACGTAAAGCGAGGAAAGTTGTATCTGAATGGACCTTCATTTTCACTCTATAATCAGGGGTGTTGTAGAATCTGATAGTTGTCGAAATCAGAATTAAAAGTGATAAAAAATGTTGTAGGGGTCATGAATTCACTATTATTGGTTTGACATTCGAAATCAAAATTGTATCGATTTTGGGTGTCACAGAAATTTTATTTTATCGGGTTTGTTACATTGTATAAGTAGTTTTATACAATGGTTTGTTATCAGAAACAAAGCAAGAAGATAGTCGCTGACAGATTGTTAAAAAATTAATGTATTATTGCTACGGTTTAATTTATCTTTATTTCTTTGGGCGAAAACGTAAGAATATAACATACAATGTCATAATTATTGAGTTTATAGAATAAATACAGATATTTTAAGGGGATTTACAAAACGTAATAAACGTAATTTAACATTCGAATGCGTTTTTATTCAGTGGATAATGAGATATAAATCTGTAAAGTAAGCATTGATGCAAGCATACAAATAAATGCAAGCCGAATTTCACAATTTTTTATTCCAATAAAATTAAAGCGGATTAATTTTAAACTTTAATAGAATATATTTAGTATTTAAAATTTATCCAACGCTTCCAAATTTATTCATTGCAAGTTTTGTCTCATTAGCATGTTCGAAAAGACGAAAATCTAATCATTGAAAACAAGAATTGGTTTGCAATTCTGACAACAACGTTAATCTGTCTTGGATTCCACAACACTCCTGATTAAAGCGCTTATGAAATCATTGATTTTTGCTTCATACATACATGCGTATACGTTCCGCGCACGTCTTGCTTGCTGCGCAGTCCTTTGTATAAATCTACAAGGAACAAAACAATCAGATGTGTTAATAATCGAAAAGTATTTAAATATATAATGACAACATTCTTCAAGTTATAAGTTTTAAAGCATAACACGGCAACACACTGCAGATTTGATGTTGGATAATGCTCTTGCTTGAAACAGCAAAAAACTGCGCATATGACAATATGCATATTCAAACATAAAAATGTGCGAGATGATCGATTTCTATTAGAAAGATACGAATAGAGAATGAATCGTGTAAAAAGAATTTATTAATGGCGAATAGCTTTAAAGTCAAACGGATTATTCCAAAAGTGACAGCCTTAATGCACTTTACGTAATTTCCTTCTACTATATCCTATAAGTTAAAAAGAAAAGTTCACAAATATAATAAAACAATAATATTAAACATATGTTTAACGGCTCAAAGGACCAAATGTATAAACTCAATGAAGATTCTAATTGTCTTACCGCTGGTGAGGGACAGAAAAGACTTTCATTGAGCTGAAAATGAAAAATTGCATTCAATATAAGTCATTTTAATCAAATAAGTAACGTGGTAGCCGGTGGCTGCATATCCGCATTTTTGCCTTTCAAATCTTGGCATCTCACATAACGGTTCACGATGACTGTGCGCCTTTCTATGTGGTATTAACGACAGTTTACTCGTAACTATTTGCTCATATTCGTCACAAAGGTATTCTGTCGGTTTTCCTTCTCTCATTGAACGGCGGTGTATTTTTAATTTTACGATTCTTTATATGTGACTTACCATACAACTCTTCACTGCTTGCCGAACATCTCATATGTTTTTCCTCCTTGACCTTTGGGTTCCATGTGCTGCGGCCGTTGTTTTGAATCTATCTCGTCTACCTTTAGAACGTCTCTTTTTGGTTGTAGTACCAAACTTAAAATCATTTGAGTCATCTTCATTTGTTATGCCTTCATCGTCGGAAACTTTAATTTCTACATTTTCATTTGGCTCTTCAGGATCAGGATCCGATGTTGCGTCTATGACAACAAAACAAGCCTCCCTAATTCCTCCAAAGTGCGGAGTCTCCGGGGGAATAAAATGCCACTTGATGTCTTTTTTTTCTATAGTTGGTCATCTTGTATATCTTCATAAATATATATATCCTCTAGTTTCCAAATATTGCCTGTTTGCTTCTCAAACATGAATTTTTATTTAACACTGTACTTGTTATTATTAAGCTACAAGGTCGCTTTTAACACTTTTTCGGTTTTACTTTTACGAAAAGTGCTTACATATATACTATAAATATATATGTACTTTCATAATTGCGGATAGTCTTTGCTATTCCGACTTACTTTAATATTGCCTGTTTGTTTCTCAAACAGGACTTTTTTTATATTTTTGACAGGGCTTCTTTCTATGTCTGCGTGAATTACAGGACTTTTGTTTTTGCCTGTTTTATAAATACAGGTCTTTTTTTTGTTGCCTGTATGTATATCATAAAGCATTTTTTAATTTTTGTAAGACCAAATTATATTGCCTGTTTGTTTCTCATACAGGACTTTTTATTTTTATATTGCTTGCATTTTTTTAATGACAGGGCTTATGTTGGCTGAGCTCTTTATCCGGCTCGAAGGACCAAATGTATAAACTCAATGAAGATTGTAATTGTTTTACCGCTGGTGGGGGACAGAAAAGACCTTCATTTAGGTTGAGAAATATTTCATTCTGATTTTTATTTAATTTTTGAAGGCTTTATAGACAATTTTTAAAACTATCTTAACTAACTAAATATATGTGTATGTGTGTATAGCGGCCTTTACACGGTCATTTTTGTATGCAAACATGGTATGATGCAAAAAAAACTGGTTTTCGTTTAAACGGTCGAACATGCAATCATTCTTTATTTCTCTGTTATTTGTGAACGAAGCAACATCAAGGATGAAATGACAAGGATGACATGAAGCGAGACTCTCTCATTTTCGCTGATTTTTCTGTTATTCTCTTTCCCTGATTATTAAAATCAGGGAATTTCGAACAGCTGATGTCAAAAAAGGCGGGATGCCAGAAATAGACCCGCTAAAAATAGCTAACAAAAGCAGTGCGAAACGAAATTTCAGGGAACGACACAAATATTTTTGAACAACGTGCAACTAAATTTTATTTGCTAATTTAATTTAAAACGTTCATCATAAAACCATGATATTTTATTATGACTTGTATTGTTTCTTTGTTATAATTTTTTTTTATTTATATGTTTTTTTTAATATTATATTATTTTTTTAAAAATTTATAATCCAGCCATCCAGTAAACTTAGATAAATTTCAAAGAAGTCCTTCCACAGTTCCTCGTTTATCCGTGACGTCATTACGCTTCAATGTTTGCTTAGTGCCGTTTCACATTGGGACGCAAAAGAGTCTCATACCAGTTTATTGTGGGTGAGGGGACGACGAGGAAAGACGAAGGGACCGTGCCACTCGTGTTCGGGTGGCACGCTTTGTGTTCTTGTTCGTAACAGCTCGCTGCTAACCTTTTCAGCATTCCTTTTCACTTTCAAATTCTTTGAATGGTTGCAAGAGCGCTCGGTTTCAAATGAATTCGATCGCAAATTTGAGTTCTGTTATCTATTTTTGTATGTAATATGCAAATACGTATGCATAGAATAATAGAAATATTATGACAAATTGTAAATAAGGAGAAAATTAAGATATAGATTATGGAGTAAAGAAATTATGAATTTTTAATACGGAGTAAAGAAATTATGAGTTTTTAATACTTAAAGATTAGGAAATTCCTATTATAAATTTGGCCTTGAAAATATTAGTAGCGGATATACAATACATTCTTGTGGATTAGGTAATTCCCGTCTTTAGTATTTTTTTGAAACTATTTAGCGGGTAGGTACTTGTATTATGCATATTGTTCTACCATATTCATGGTAATTTATTGCAAGCAAAATGTGTGACCATCATCTCAACATACAAATGAAATACGCAGCACGCAGTGTTGCGCGGTGCTGCGCAGTCGAACCGCACAAATATTTACGAACATTTTGTGAAAAGGAATGCAGAAAAACTAGACTCGAGTTGCTGGACTCTTTTTGACCGTGTGAATGCCCAGAGCGACACCAAAAGAAAATTTGAAAAACATCAGACTCTTTTGCATCCCAATGTGAAACGGCACTTACGACTGAAAAAATATACTGCGTGCATGAAGCAAGCGTTTACACCATAAAACATGTTCATAACAACATCATGTTTTTAAAAATTTTTAAAAACCATCGCACATGTATGACGAACATGAATTCTTCTCATCACGCCGCACATGCTTGCAAACATGAATGACCGTGTAAAGGCCGCTTATGTGAATATGTATGTTACTCATTGTTTATGTTACGTGATAGGGGTTGTTTTCGATGTACACAAGCAATTGCCTAAATGTATTTTTAGAACCAATTGGGTACAATGTGTACATATAAACATGTGCATCTTCTTATCTTAAATTAATAGGTTTTTACTATCGACTATTGAATGGAATGCATGCGTATTGAATGTGTATTGCATGGTATAAGGGAGTAGCGAAAGTCTCATTCACAATAGTTTCGCCACCTCTGAGGTGTACGGTCACAATAAAACCAACATGGTGGCCATGGTGAGTTAGGGTGGCAAGGGGCTAAAACGGGATGCGCATAGTAGAAAACGCCTAAATAATTATTTATAAATATTTTAAATTTTGGTTATTAATTGATGTTTAATGCTAACAATATATAATATCATACCATGTTGATATAGGTAAATATGCGGCATATTTTTAAGCATTTTAAATAACTTATTATTGGGCAAACTGAAATTTCAATTTAACTATGAGTGGACGGGAAGAAATAACTATTGTAACAAAATTTGATACTATAAGTAATAATAATTTATAAAATCAAAAAAGCAAAACTTATCATTGCCATACAAGTGATAATAATTCATTTAAACAATAAAGCAAAATTTATCATTGTACTTATATGAAGAAATTTTACTAGTGCTCTAATTTAAGTATAGATTTATTCAATCACAAATTTTATTTACGTTTTATATATCAGCAATTGATGGTGGATACATGTACAATAGTTTATTACAACTTTTGACGTACAAAATTACCATATTATTATATAGTTCTAAATTTAGTTTTCAAATATATAGACTCCTAAAATAAATTATTTGTTGAAGTTGCAATATCGTTATAGTATAAAACATTTTATAAGGGTATAAAATGCGGTAGATGTATTTCCTTTTTAAAAAGTAATATAAAATTAGCTTCCGCAACACTGTTACGCAATGCTCAATAGCAATACTGGCATTTGAATTTATTAACCACTTTTAGTCAAACGCATTAATACACACCTGCTTATTGATAAAAATTCTTGTGTGAGCAGTTTTATCAGGAGCAATATTAAATATTCATTATTTTACGAAGATTGTATTGCAAATTTATAAACATTGCCCTCAGTTTCGTTGAATAAGCATTTACCGCATCCCGTTATTTGACATGGTTGCTTAATTGCACCTTACATATTTCTGTGGTGAATATTTATTAAGTTACCACAGTTAAAAAAAGGCATAAATATATATCGTAATTATTCTGAAATTTGCCAATAATAGCCGCTTTTTTAAGAACATATATTAAAATAAACTTATTTTATTTTGAAAACATATTAAAGTTTTACATATAATCAATATTTTTTGGACAACTTTTTCATAAATTAAGAGAAAATAGCAAGATGCAACCATTTTCCGGTTAAAAGTCGGCCATCTTGGCTATCAATAGAAACTCAACCCCTAGGCGGACTTGACGTTTCTTCATGGACCCCTCTCAGCTGTAGCATTGTTTACATCCATCAGCTGATTCTTTCTCTACTCCCCCTTTACGATGGTATATAGTATGTTAATGCATTTTATGTGATTTTCGCTTCCTTGGCTTTGTCGATGCTAAAAATAAGCATGTTCAAAGATATTTGAACATATTGCCGAGGGACAGAAATTATTTATTTAAATTTAGTGGACTGTATGTGTTTGTTATGAATATGAGTATGTACGTTTTGTACTACCTCAGTATATCAATAATAAACATGTTCAAAAATATTTAAACATTGTATGATATGGATGAAGGACAAATAAAATATGCGAGAACGAAAGGAGTTCCCCAAGGTTCTGTGCTTGGCCCATTGCTGTGGAACGTACTATACTACGGGGTGCTGCGTCTCCAACTGTAGTAGCAAAGGAACTCGGCCAACTTAAGAACTTCTGCAATAATGCGATCAAAGAATGGCTTACAACAACAAACCTTCAACTTGGTGGACATAAAACTGAAGCTGTGTTGATCACAAGCAGGAAGAAATTTGAGGGCATCAAACTAAATATCAACGGTCATAGTATCATGAGGCAGCAGTCGCTAAAGTATCTAGGAGTACTGATAGACACTAGGCTTAGCTATAAGACGCACATCGGCAAAATATGTGAGAAAGCAGCACGTGTAACGGCCGCACTAACGAAAGAGTGGCATTAGGGTCACGTGCGCATTTCGCACAGTTTCCCACGAAGCAGTCGGAATCATAGCGGGTATCATTCCACCAGAGCTAATGGCCTTGCAACTCAAACGAGTACATGACAGTTCCAAAAGTCTGGGCGGGCGATTAACGGTAGATGAGCGTAAGGATGAAAGACAAACAAGCCGCAATGAATGGCAGAATCGATGGAATGTGACAACAATAGGGAGATGGACTCACAGGCTAATTAGAAACGTACAAGCGTGGGTAGAGGGGAAATATGGAGAAACAGATTTCTAACTGACACAGTTTTTGAAGGGGCATGGGTGTTTTAGAGAATTTCTCTACAAATATGGCCATGACAACGAAACGAATTTTTCCTTCTGCGGCAACAGGATAGAAAACACGCTGTACATCTTATTCTCCGGTATGCAATCGAGAGAGCCGATCTAAAGAATCTGACAATGGAAGGAGTGACACATAACATAATGTGGCTTATGACAGACTTGAAACTAGTGTGGGATAGAGTGAGAGCGTGGTGTGCTATAGCTTTCCACGAGCTACGAGAAGAAAATAATGGCAACGTAACGAAAGCAGAAGAATGAATGAGGAGTAGAGCAGAAAGGCGTGACTGACGATGGAGTTAAGGGTTTAGTACGTAGGCGTATTGGTCCCTTGCGGCCAGTACGAATCGTGCATATCGTCCAGAAAAATTACGGTATATTCTGAAGATTCCCCCTTCCAAAAAAAAAGCGAGAAAAAGCACTGTGATGCAGCCAAAGTACTTCACTTTAAAAATATTTCAAATTTCAAGTAAAAATTTGTATATATATATATCTATAATAAACAAAAAAAAAATTAACAAATTTAATTCAGCTTCAAAATGCCTGAATACATTAAATTTTGTAAATTGGAGTTTTTAAATGTTTTAATAAATCTTTGTTTTCACTGGAGTTAATATTATGATATTAAATTTCGAATTTTTTTATATAATCTTTTATGTATATAGCACCTCTTAAAGTTTTGGTTTTTAACTTGTTACGAATTTTACTTTGATTTAAATAAATTTGACTTTTTTAAACTCTTTTCACATTCGCTTGAAATCGACAACGTCAATATTTTAAAACAATTTTTTTAAGTGAGAGGAAAATATCAAGTGTCATAGACTTTTTTAAGTTGAAAATAATAGCCCAAAAAGTCTCAAGAGCCATTTGTGAGCTAAGGCCATATTTTTTAAAATAAATTTTACGTAATTCCCTCTAATCAGTCAATTTGCTTCGCAAATCAAGGGTTCACCGACATCTAGCTATCCTGTTTTCGCATGTGCAAAATCAAATAGCTGACAAAGTGGTGAATTTTAGTAGCAACTACACAGAAAATCTTCAAATTTTGCCAGATATCGCGATAGAGAAGAATTTTTTGTATGCAATTTTTATTTCATTTTTATATATTCACTTTTTTATAAAAAAAATCTTAATTTTGAAGATAAATCTTCTCTTCTGGCAACACTGACTCCAGGGCTACAAAGTGACTGCTGGAAAGGTGACCGCTTGCATTCGTGCCATTTTCGTCAAAGTAGTGACGTCGTAGCTAATGGCTGCATATTCGTATTTGTGACATTTACATGTTAACATGTCATATAAGCGTTCACGATGACTATGCGTCTTCCTGTGATGTATTAATGATAGGTTACTCGTAACTATTTATTCATATTCGTCGCAAATTGTAACGGATTTCTCGATAAATCGTCTACCTTGTAACTCACTCTTGAGTTCGATCGATGGATTATTAAATAAAAGTTCCAATTTATTATACTATACACTTAACTTTTTTTTTAATTCCAACAACCAAACACTTATTACTCGTTATTCGAGTTTACAACTTATTGCTTATATCTCTTTACTAAGCATCACTCTAATTAGAACCATGTTTGCTGCACCATCCAGCAGCCTTTATATAGTAAATTGTTAATAAAACTTCGTCCCTAGAACATTCTGGCAACTACGAATTTCGCTATCTGGTTGGTTCTGGCAGTTTATCGTCGATTCTGATTTGTTCTGGCATTCGTGTTTGCAACACTGCCCTCACCTAAGTTTGATCGTACCGAATATATATATTTATGTACCAAACGCTGCAAGCTATTGCATGTATATCCCTCATCTCGTCTTCTAAGATGCTGTTGACTTCCTTTGAATTTCTTCCTCCGTTGGTGTTAATTCCAATGTCTGTATTTCAAATTACATCAGAATTTCAATGACTACTACCGATGCGATGTTCTTTAGAGAAGGCGTAACTTTGGAGTCTCTCAATCCACTGTGACAACTGTCCTTCAGGGTTCTGGAATTTTAGGAGAAATTTTGATGCTACATGATCTGTCCTCCCCGAAATCGCTGGCCATATAGGTACTTATGAAAATGTTTGATGCAATTTTAAGTGATCACTTGAATAGTTAAGAATATGGCTGTGTGCCAAACGGTAAAATTTGTATCTGTGCTTAGTTGGGGTTTTGAAATTCAAAACTAACGCAATTGTGTCGTTTGAATTTTCGTCTTGGTAATTTAATTTTTAAATATATTCGCAAAATGAATAAAATTAAAAGCAAAAACTTTACATTGCTAACTACAATATTAATAACACTATAAAAATGCATTAATTTGAAGATTTGGTATTAATTGAGAATGTTAGGCTACGTGTTACTACAAATACTTTGAAGAAACTCACATCTTAACATCTTTTAAGTATATCTTCCAGCAATCCTTGTGCAAGTTTATTTGAAAATCCGGAAATTTTAGAATTTTTTTCAATGAAGCGCTTGTTTTAAAGATTATATTATAGATTTCAAGTTTATTAAATATTTTTTCTTTACATACATTATTCTTATATACAGTATTATATATTTATCTTACTTTAAAATGTAAAAAGTAATGAGAGTGGTTTTTTAAATATTTCCATTACAACCCGACGTATGTTCATATTGTAACGGATTATTATATTTTTTGTTGTGCAAACCACAAAGCAAAACGACGAAATTTATTATATTAGGGATATAAGGTTTGGACAAAGCTCTAAACCAATTCTATTTATATTCAGTGCTAAACCACATATTTCTTAGGAAGATTAGTCCACTTAATTTCATTAAAATATCACACATTTTGACCACTCTGAACAGTATTAAGACAGGTTGAAAGCCGGCAATCTCTTTGCTTAGGTATACTCGAGAACATATTTCTAACCAATTTATAAATATAGAACTCATGCACTGACCGAAATATTCAGCATATGGTTTATTAGAATAACGAAAATCATTAAATGTAGTATAAAAGCTTTTTGCTTTTATGACTGTGGGGACCCCTCAGTTGATAAACACACCTACAGCTATTTGACTCTATTTCGAACGCTGCTGACAACTGTGCTGACAAACGCTTCCAATGCAGCCAAAATAGTGTCCATGTCCATAACCTCTGCTGAACATTGAGGCACTTCATTTTCTTGTATCTTTGTTGTCTCTTCCTCCAATTCTAATTGAAAGAAATATTCCTCAACATTAATGTTTTCTGCTTCCATGGATCTTCGTAACCGTGACTGTTGCCAAGCCACGTTTTTCCAGCTCCTTTTTTAATTATGGAATCTTCAGATAGTTAAACTTTGCCATTTTAAAACAATTCTTACTTACGGAATTTATACAATCTGACTTCTGACACCATTTGTAACCGATTTCTCGATAAAACGTCTACCTTGTAACTCGCTCTTGAGTTTAATTCACTGGGTTGTGAAATAAAAGTCCCAATTAGGTGGCTGTACACTTACCTTTATTTCAAGTCCAAACAACTTAACGCTTAACTACTCATTATCCGAATTTACATCTTCTTACTTATATCTTAATTGCCCTCTACACGGTAGATCTTTAACAAAAGTTCGCCACTAGAACACTCTGGCAACTACGAATTTTGCTGTCTAGTTGATTTTGGCAATTTATTGTCAATTTGATTTTGTTCTATCATCCGTGCTTGTCACAATATACATAGATATTCGAAAGCGGACCATACTCTTCCATTGGGACTCGCAGCATAACCAATCTTTGATGAGTAGATTATCTCACTAATCTACTGGATTTAACAAGATTTCCCCATACACTTGTTAATCTCGTCACCGAGGAGATTTAAAGCTAATCTACTGTGTCATTAAAGCGAAAAAATTAAACAAATAAATAAAATAATAAATAATTTAAAAAAAAAGTTGAAAAAAAGGAGAGTAATAAGAAGTAAGACTGCCCATGCCGATCTAAATCTCCAACGGCAATGAGGACAATCTAAATTAATGAATACATAAAATGTAATCCACTCACTTCAAAATTTTGTTCGGGACATGGTATTAATCAATTGAAATATAATATTTGTTCGACTTTTCTACAAAAATATATATACATTTAGATCTGCTAATCAACTACAAAAATATTATTTTTACTTCTTACTTAAATAATAAAAAAAATGCAAAAGATGACAAGAAATTTCTTTATTAAAATTATAATTCTTGTATTGAATTAAATAAATAAAAACAAAAATACATGCATAGTTACACATATAATAAATATCATAACTTGCATGTTTTGTATGCAAAGGTTTTTTTAAATTCGTGTCTTCATGAATGCTTAAATTTAATCACGTTAATAAGTTGTCAAATTTTGAAGATAAATCTTCACTTCTGGCAACACTGCATAGCGACAGCGAAATTTCCTTGACTGCAAATAGCGTCTTAAACATTATGAAAACGGGGACATATCAAAAAGCTGATGTGCAAAAGAGCATTGTTGCCGTACTAAAACCTTTTACTTGAATGAAATTTAAACACTTCGTTTAAAGTGAAATTGTTTGTGCAACAAATAAGTAAGTAGGTAATTTTTTTTAAGTTATCAATTGTTATTACAAATGATATATTAGAGCTATTTTATGCTTCTCTTAGATAATTGAGCGCTACTTTAGTTGGATTTACCACAATAAAATCTTATTTGACTACATTAATTCTTAATCGAATTCAAATCGAGATAAAACGAAACTCTACGGGCTGTTGTCTACACTGTAAATTTGGCTATGTGCATTGATAAAATAGAAATCAGTTGATGAATTTCAATCATTAGAAGAAATGCGAACTGAGGAACACAATCAAGTATAACAGCTGATCGTTAAGCGAGAAGCCAGCTGTGCCAAAGTCAATAATTGGTTTCTCAATTATAATCTTAATTTACTAAATTAATTTGGCTGTGTGAAAAGGCTATAGTGTTAGACTTGTTAGAGCTTTGTATCATTTTACAGTTCACATATTACTTTAACCACTACAGCTGCCTATTGTCGTCGGCAAAATTAGAAATAGTTTAAATTCGGGTACAGCGACAACTGCAAGCTTGCTGCCGCGAAATCGTGCTGATGTCTAAATAACTGTGCCCATAAGAACGTTTGTATTTCAATATTTCACAGATGCCGATTGTCGTCTGCCTGCGTGGACTAGAAACGCCGCAATTTGAAGTAGTTAATGCGGAAAAAACAAGGTTGATGAGTGAACATCCCTTACCCATGTTAGAAATGAAATCTTAAAATAAATTTTGGCTGGAAAAGGCATTTAAAGAAATATATTATGCATTGTTACATTTACTTTAAACACAATAAATGATATTAATTAATTATAAACTAAAATAAATAGCGATTTCGATTAACTTTCTTCTTCCATTATAAATTTTGCTGATGCCGTTTTAGTCAGTTTTGTGCTTAAGAAATGTCGAATTTTGAGTTGATCGAACGCTTGACATTTTCAAATGTTGCAACATTTTTACGTCGAATGTGATGCTTTGCTATATTGCCGTAGTGATTGAGAACATCCCCTATAACACCTGTTTTGCAGAAGACTACAGGATATATATACAGTATCTGACAAAACTGTGGCTACCTATTCGTAAGTACGATGAATTTTTCATTTACATTATTCAAATATTATAGAAATCCCGGTGTTGTATCGATTAGCGTTATTTTTTTGAAGCGCGGCGAATGAATTATTAACACCCCGGTGTTGGATCGACCTGGGTAGTTTTATTTTTTAAGTGCCATCGAAAGACGCCAATACAGAAGGTAGTTCGACGCGAAAAACTAATGATGTCATGGAGGGTATAACACTCTCTTTCCTTAAACTATTTGTTTCCTGTATTTGCGGTTTCAGGTTTTATTATTTCTTTTTTCGATTGCAAAACATAAGTATGTTTTAATTTGCAAACTTTAATACTTTAAATGCGAATATCTCGAAAACTTAAAGTTTTCTGCGACTATATGTATACAGTATATATAGAGGATGTTCTCCAAATTAAGAATATATATATATATAAATTAAGAATATATTTAATTTAAGAATATATATAAATATATATATATATATTTAATAATTAGGATTTGCAATTGAATATATAAACTGGATTCATAAGATATATATATATATATATATATATATATATATATTCTTAATTTGGAGAACATCCTCTATATATACTAATGTAAACAGCAATCAATCTTCTTCCCGTATCCATTGTATGCGTAAAGACAACTATAATCTACTAGTCTACCGCAATAAGGATGTTAGTGTATTTCTAATGGTCCGCTCTTACTCCACTTACGTTGTGTTGAGTAGTGCAAATTCAAAAAGCAAAGAGATACATTGTATATGTACGGAGAAATATCATAAATCTGCTTATACTAAAAAATAACTATACAAATAATAATAATGATAGAGTAAATGGCAAATCTAAAACAACCGAAATCTCTGTGGAAGAACTCTTTGACTATGTTATGGAGTTGGATCATTGCTTTGATACCTTTATTCGAAGCTGAAATAAATGCATACTTAGAATTTGTTTATCATTCGTATAAAATTTCACTAGAATGAATTTGGATAAGTATTGTTTGTATATAATTTTAATTACCTACGCTTGTTATAAAAAAATAAGACTTATAAAAAACGGTTAATTGAGCTAAATGCTAAAACGACCTTAATTAATTGTTTTACTATTGTCAAGAACTATTATTTTATGATCAAAGGTAACAAAAAAATTTACATTACGTATTTATTACTAACAACTACTAATGTCTGCCAGATGCTGCAGGTTGTACAGAACAGACATGGCAATTGAAAACTGCCTAATTTGTATTTTAATCTTATGCTAAAAAAAAAGTTTGTTCCCTTTTTGACTGTGTTGCCTGTAAACCGAAATAGAAAGTGATTGTTTTCTTTGTATGCGGTTGGTTTGTTGCAACTTTTAACGAAAATTGAATTGACAACCTTCATTTAAATTTTTCCATATTAAAAAAATACTCTGACACGTCAACTTCAAATGGCTTGTAAACAAAGAATTAATTTACAGAATGACTTGTAACTTTGCATGTGTTCTCACCACAGATGTACTAACACGAGAAAATAAAAATTAGAGCTGGTAGTGCTACTTCTTGGTCAGACCAACCAACTTGTATTTAAATTTAATTTTTTTACTGCAATATACCCATAAGCAAAATAGAAAAATCAACAAAGTTATAAAGTTCACTTCTGAAAAGATATAACCATTTTGGTCTTTACATTCATAGGGTATACATAGTTTTGTCGGATACTGTATATACATATTTCAGTTGTCTGTATACTTACGTTATTAGTACTATAACAGGATGTTTTGCGGATAGCCGCAGTTTGTCACCCCAATTGCGCAACTATAATTGCGTGAGTACAGCTGCCATTCGACAACAGGATACCAAAATGTACTTTACAAGAAAATTAATCGTCTGTCTTCATTTTATGTATATGATAGAATACTACCCCCATTTTTTATAGTAAGTAAAAATGTTGAAATAAACAAATGCAATTGTCTACAATGTTTTTCGAATTTTAGAGCTTAAATACTTTATATTTTATTGATTCTTTAAAGGTTAAACACTTAATGAATTTTTTAAGGTAATATTTACTTTCACATATTTTTCTTGTGAAATATTATTTAAGGATTTAATTATCTATTGATACCTAAATGTTATTATTATAATAAATATAAGTGTGCAAAATTCTGTATTCTTATAAATTGATAATTACTAAATAAATTTTTATATTCTTTAAAATTATCAATATTAGTGAAATTGAAAAACTAAGTCAACGCTCAGAGATTTAGTAATTTCACTTCGAACGTACCAATAAATTAAATTCTACTAAACATACATAACTATATCAAATTGTAATGTGTGAATTTCTGTCAAAAATTTGAGCAATGCTACCAAATACTTTACATATTCTTCCCAAAAATGTAAACTCAATGCTGTTATGTGGATTTTAAAGGTATAGGCTTCTGTAGTAAAAATCAATCTTCTTCCCGTATCCATTGTAAGCGTAAAGACAACTATAATCCACTAGTCTACCGCAATAAGGATGTTGGTGTATTTCTAATGTCCGTTCTTACTCCACAGAGAGGTTCTGTAATGAATGAAATGAATTCCGAGTGAAAATGTTCTGAAAAATGATTTCACACGAAAATATTCAGAATCAAAGTGTTTATATTATATAAATGTTTTGATTATAATTGTTAAAGTTGCAAACGCTTTGCGCAGGGTGGCAAAAAAAGTCTATGCGCTGTGAACGGAATTGGTTATAGAGCAAAATGTACATGGTCCGCTTGAAAAATACATTTCTGGCAAGCCAATCAAGGTAAGAAGCAGAAATTCTCCAGTTCTAAAAATTTTTATCAGGTTTGGATGTCTATCTTTAAGAAAAAAGTTGCTCACAATACTTCTGATGCTAGAACAACTAATAGAGGCCATTTAATAGATTGTCCAGTTGTGCCGCAACCTGTTGCTACAGAGTATAATAGTTTTGTTCACCTAACGGTTGTTTGTATCACCTAAAACTAATCGAGTTAGATATAGGGTTATATATATATAAATGATCGATGAAGAGACGAGTTGAAATCCGGGTGACTGTCTGTCCGTCGTCGCGTCCGTCCGTGCAAGCTCTAACTTGAGTAAAATTGAGATATATTTTATGAAACTTGGTAGACATGTTTCTTGGTACCGTGAGACAGTTGGTACTGCAGATGGGCGTAATCGGACCACTGCCACGCCACAAAACGCCATTAATCAAAACAAATAACTTGCCATAACTAAGCTCCGCAATAAGATCAAGACTGTTATTTGGTACACAGGATCACATTACGGAGGGGCATCTGCAGTTAAAACTTTTTAAAAAGTGGGCGTGGTCCCGCCTCTAATAGGTTTAATGTGCATATCTCCTAAACCGCTAACGCTATAATAACAAAATTCACTAGAAGAAATGTTTTTAGCACTTCTATTGACGGTGTGAAAATAGTTGAAATCGGAGGCAACTCCGTCCACTCCCCATATAACGGTACTGTTAAAAACTACTAAAGCGCGATAAATCAAGCACTAAACACGCCAGAGACATTAAATCTTATCTCTGAGATGGTATAAATTGGCTTATAGGAACCGCGTTCAAAATTAGTCAGTGGGCGTGGCACAGCCCACTTTTAGGTGAAAACCCATATCTTGAGATCTGCTCAACCGATTCACACCAAATTCGGTGCTAACGTTCTTTCATGTTTCTATGTCATAGTGCGAAAATGGGCGAAATCGACTACAATCACGCTTACTTCCCATGTAACACCATTTTCAATTCCATCTGATTCTTTCACTTTCCACTATGCAAATCAGGTAACAATGATTATATCGGGGTAAAACTTTGCGTGAATGATGCAATTAAAGTATGCCACCCTGCGGCCAAAAATTGTCTAAATCGAACCAAAACTGTTCAAACCCCTAAGTACTAAATATGTGGACCCCAGTGCCTATAGTTGACCTTCTACCGAAAATATCAGTCAATCCACAAAGAAATCTCAAACGAGTATACCATTTGACTTCGGTTGTCGGTTACATCCGAACTTAGCCCTTCCTTACTTGTTGTTAGTTGTCTTCGTGCATGTTGTACTCAGAGATTGAGTGTGGTAGTGTAATCATGTGTAGCGTTCTCGATGTTGTATGCAGTGTGGTGTGTTTAATTAGGGTGTGCCAGTTTCAGGGAGTAGAGTGGTGTGTATATGTAGGGGTGGCTTATCTCATTTAACAAATGCTTATCCAAATTCATTCTCGTGAAATTTTACACGAATGATAAACAAATTCAGTATACAATTATTTCAGCTTCGAATTAGGTTATGAGCAAAGCAATGATCCAACTACATAACATAGTCAAAGATTTCTTCCATAGAGATTTCGGTTGTTTTAGATTTGCCATTTACTCTATCATTTCGTTTTTGGTATTTGCAACAAAGTTTGTATGTTAAAATTATTTTGACACTTTTCCTGTAAAGATAAGAATGTTTCACGTTTAAATTAGCATTAGTCTTTATAAGTGTTTAATAATATATTCAGTTATACAGTTAAATTTTCTTATCATGCGCTCAACGCAATACTAGGTACAGCTTGAAAAATTATCAATAAACAACCACGGATAATAAAAATGATTCAATATTGAAACTAATATTTAAGAGCAAAATAAATTTTAATTAGCACTTTGTGGGCCTGAAGTCAATTTCGGCCAATTTATGTATAATATAATTTAGTATAAAACTTCAAGGTAACATTCAAACAAATTCCTATGAAAAATTCCCATCTTCCAATTACATCTCGCCAGAATTTTGAGGAACCCTGATGTCGTATATTTTTGCGATGTCTTCCACAACGGTGTATATGCCGCACAACTGGACAATCTATTAAATGGCCTCTATTAGTTGTTCTAGCATCAGAAGTATTGTGAGCAACTTTTTTCTTAAAGATAGACATCCAAACCTGATAAAAATTTTTAGAACTGGAGAATTTCTGCTTCTTACCTTGATTGGCTTGCCAGAAATGTATTTTTCAAGCGGACCATGTACATTTTGCTCTATAACCAATTCCGTTCACAGCGCTAGACTTTTTGCCACCCTGCGCAAAGCGTGCAACTTTAACAATTATAATAAAAACATTTATATAATATAAACACTTTGATTCTGAATATTTTCGTGTGAAATCATTTTTCAGAACATTTTCACTCGGAATTCATTTCATTCATTACAGAACCTCTCTGTGGAGTAAGAACGGACATTAGAAATACACCAACATCCTTATTGCGGTAGACTAGTGGATTATAGTTGTCTTTACGCTTACAATGGATACGGGAAGAAGATTGATTTTACTAAGAAGCCTATACTTTAAAATCCACATAACAGCATTGAGTTTACATTTTTGGGAAGAATATGTAAAGTATTTGGTAGCATTGCTCAAATTTTTGACAGAAATTCACACATTACAATTTGATATAGTTATGTATGTTTAGTAGAATTTAATTTATTGGTACGTTCGAAGTGAAATTACTAAATCTCTGAGCGTTGACTTAGTTTTTCAATTTCACTAATATTGATAATTTTAAGAATAAAAAATTTATTTAGTAATTATCAATTTATAAGAATACAGAATTTTGCACACTTATATTTATTATAATAATAACATTTAGGTATCAATAGATAATTAAATCCTTAAATAATATTTCACAAGAAAAATATGTGAAAGTAAATATTCC